CAGGAATGCTACGGCTCTCGCCCTCAGCCAGAGCAAACCCGGGACGCTCGGCACACAGGCACAGCCCCCGGGTGCTGGCAGCACCTTGCTTTCTTCTCTGGAGGACTCGGATACGAGTGCCGTGCAGCGCTCTCCTGCAAACACCGGGACCACTGCTGGGCCCTCCCGGGACCTGCATCACTCTGGATTGCCAGAGGAAGCACCAAACCTACGGCGGGCCACGACGGCAGCCCAAGGGGCACCACTTCTGCCCAGCACCCGCCCAAGAAGCCTGCACAGACACACGGGTTCAAGACGGCAGCCTCCCCTCGGGGTCACGGGCCGCAGCAGTGGAAGAAACCCCTCTCTCTAGGCAGCAGGGCCCTGTAGCGCTGCCCCCGCCTTGCAAAGGCTCCTCCACTTGGGTGCAGCCTGCGTACGAGAGAACTGGACGGTATTTTTTGCTGGGGGAAGCGGAGCTCAGCTGAAAGTGAAGCCACTGCAGGAGACAAGTGCACATCCACGGTTATGTTCCAGGTGTTAGCGTGGCGGAAGAGCTCCGGGGGGTTGCGCTGCTGCCTCCAAACGCCTCCTGCCAGTGGGTCCAGCTGGGCTCTCTCCACTTCTGTCATCTCCAAGTCAGCTTCAATTAGCCCTTCCTTACCCATCTGCTGCTCACATGAGCAAGACTGAGCCCAGCTGGCCTTCCTGGAGCAGGAGGAGGAGGGCTAGAGGAACACATGGCTCAGAGGGGAAAACAGGAGGGTTATCTTTGACGGCCTCCGTTCTGGGCACAAGCGAGGCTGTTGCTCCTCAAGCCCTGTCCATCAGAAATGCCAGCCACGCACAGGCACAAGCCAGTGGTTTGAGGAGAGAGCTCCAAGCTGCTCATCTGGCAAACGTTAGCCTTGCTTGGCCCGTCTCCCTCGAGCTGACTCGTCCCCGCTCTCACAGATGGCCCGTGACCACTTGGCTCTGGAGCAGCTCTCCAGGCAATCAGACAGGCCTGAGTGGAGGAGCGAGACCTCCCTGATGCAGGAATGACCAGAGACCATGGCAGTTGTTTGCACGGATCGATCGGTGACTACGTAAGCCAGCTGGTGGCCATGTCATCCAGTGCTCCACCCTGGAGGGAGCAAGGATCCAAGACCAAGCTGCCTCGTCATGGGAAGCTGTAGCTAAGCAAAGCAGCAAGATCTTCTGATCGAGGAGGTGAGAGGCTCCAAAACACAGACGTTTGTTGTTTCTACTCTTAAGCGCTTGGGAAGGCACTGCCTGCACTAGCCAAGCGCTTGCCAGCAGCAGTGCACTGCGGCAGCTCCTCAATAGCCAGCGCACTGAGCCAGACTCTGCCCCCGAGTCAAATCAGCCTTGCTCAGCTCGCCCCAGCACAGCAAAACCAGAATACAGCTGAGTGAAACATCCCTGCTTCTATCAGAGCTGCTCAGGAGGCAGAAGCACGGCGAGGGAAGAGGGAAGGGGCAGATTACCCACCTGAGCTCCCCCGGTGATGGGGATGGTGCACGTCAGGAGGTTCCCAATGACGTTCTCCAGGGACACACCCAGTCCGTCCACGTAGATGGTATAGATCAAACCCAGGCTGTTCTGGAGAGGAAAGCACAGCACAGCTGAGCATCAGGGTGGGAAGCAAACACGCACAGGTGCCGCTGGGGAGGCTCCAGTCTGCAGCACCGTCGCACGGAGGGGCTCCCAGTGCTTGTCACCAGACAGACGCACCCTGTGACAGTCAACTTGTGGGTGCAGTGCTCGAGGTCTTCCCCCTCGGGCCTCTCACAGCGAGTCCTCCTCAGCAGGACAGGATATTTAGCACGTGCTCAGTTTGCTTCCAGCCAGCAGCACCTCCCCATCCCAGCACCCACCCGTGCCCCTGGGCTAGAGCTCAGCAGGAGCAGCGCGAAGGGGGTTCAAAAGCTCAGAGAGGGGGTGACTGAAAACAGCTGGACTTCTCCAGCACCCCCAAGCACTCCCAGTCCCTGCAGATTTGCATCAAGTCTCACAAAAACCCCAAGTCGGGGACGGGAAGGAGACCCCCTTCTCCACCGAGGGCTGGCCGAGACGCCTGGCCGGGCCCCGCTCTGCTCGCCGTCTGCCCAGCATTTGGACAAGGCCCTTAACAAGACGCTTTAACTTTTGGTCAGCCCTGAAGCGGTCAGGCAGTTGGACTAGCTGGTCACTGGACGTCCCTACCAACTGAAACACTCTATTCCGTCTGGGAAGCAACACCAACTCCAGCACAGAGGGACTAAGGGCCACAAGCGCAGGGCAGCGTTCAACACAAGCTATAATACACAGATGAATAAGGAATCTGAGCAATTTGTTTTCAGGGCACCCTCTGGGTGGTTTGCTTTTTTTTTTTTTAAACTCAAACCATCTCCTCATGTCAGCGAGAAAACAGAAATTCTGGGGCTTTGGAGAGCAGGGGCCAGGCAGGCTACTGCACACTGGGATAACCGAGCGGAGAGCGAGCGCACGCTCCTGCACGTCCACGAACACGCTGCCCTGCCGGACGCTGCACGGAGGGAGCAGAGGAGATCCAAGAGAAGGCGCAGCCTCACCAGGTGCCAGAAGGGAGCTCTGGGTACCCTGCCCCTCTTCCCAAGGGCTGGAGCCCACCCAGCTTCAGGGGCCGTGGCAGCTATGGCCCCACGGCTGCTGGCCAGCGGTGAGGGCTCCTGGCGTAACGTGTCTACGGCTTGGCCTCGCCCTGAGCAAGAGGCAGACCCTCAGGCCAGCATCACGCTGACCAAGAGGACCAACAGGTCCTGGGCTACACAGACCTAATCAGAGAAGAGAAGGAGCCAGAACAACCCGAATCTTGCGCTGGGGAAGTAAGAGGCTGCACTTCATATTTAGCCAGTCAGCCACCCGCCCGAAGGGCAAAGGCAGAGCGCCCACCCATCGCCCGGCTCCTGGCAGGGACCCGGAGCAGCGACGGGAAAGGCAAAGACGGCTCGACAGGCGAACGCACCGTTGTTCTGCCACGATCTGAGCCTGCTCTGGCTTCCCACAGGCAGGTCAGAGGTGCGTGGCACTCGCTGCTGCGGAGCAGAGATCCCAGTCCCAGAGCTGCCACGCTCAGAGCCCTCCTGGGGACACCCAGTGACATCTGGGTTTGTGTCACGGCTAAGGGGGAAATGACCCAAGGCCCAGGACAACAGGGCTGTAGTGCTCGTCGCTCTCTGTTCCTCCGAAATCACCAAGGGGGATAATTCAAGCAACCGAGCAATGAAATGAGGCAGCCAAACATGCGATGCAAACATTACTGGGCCTCCTAACAAAACCAGCCAGGGAAGACGAGCAGTCAGGTACGCGAAGACCGAAATGAGCCGGGCACCATTTCAGCGCGGGCCCCAGGGGAGAAGCGCTGGCAGCAAACGCCCGTCTGCTGGAGCAGGACCCGGTCGGCCCCGAGCAGGACCGGCTCGGCCCAGCAGGAGAGCAGCAGATGCTGCAGCCCGGCCGACCTCGCTCTGCTCTCCCAGGCTGGAGAAAACGAACAGCTCCTGCGTTTTAGAGAATTCCAGCTCCACTGAAGGCAAGGCGTGGTAAACCCCATCCTGGATGCGAGGACGACCATACAACGCAACCACTTGCAACAAGGGAAATGGACTGACGATCCAGGCTCAATCCTGTTCATACGCTCCCTTCTGTCTCGGGCTTACTGCTCCCGCTCGCTGGGAAGGAGTCGCTGCTTTAACACCAGCTATCAGCCAAGGCAGGCTTGGCTTGGGCTCAGACAACTTTCCCAATAAAACACCCAAGTACATAGACTTTTCTCCTGTGAGGGCGGTTGAACGCTGGCACAGGTTTCCCAGAGAAGTTGTACAGTCTCCATCCTTGGAGATAGTTCAAAACCCAACTGGAGGATATCCTGGACGACCTGCTCCAGCTGACCCTGCTTGAGCAGGGGTTGGACCAGAGGCCTCCAGAGGTGCCTCCAACCTCAGTTACGTGGTTTGGGGCTGTGAGTCTGTGAAGCCCGAAGTTTCCGCTGCTCCAGCAGCTCCAGGCCAGAGAACAGAGTGATTTTCTCCCCCCCCGTCAGTTATTAATGCCTTGAGCACGCTGTGGCTGAACGCCCCGCGGGAACACCAAGTGCTCCCATTCACAGAGCCTGTGAACAAGAGGTTCCAGAACAGGGCAGCTACCCAGAAGTGATCTCCTCGCAGCGGCGGGGGGGAAAGGAAGGGCACAGCCTGGCCTGATGGAGAGCGCTGCCCTCCTGCAAGCTCAGCACCTGGGCAAGCTAGCGGAGAGCCCACCGTAAATGCCAGGTGGATTCCTCCCTTGGACCAAGAGGAGCAGCCAGGCAGGCAGCCTGCTCGGCCCGGAGGGGGCTGCCCGCACCCCGCCTGCCCCCGCCGCAGAGCTGCGGACACGATACGCACGGAGGCAGTTTGTAAACACGCCAGCTTGCAGCCCGTGCCCTCCCAAACCTTCTACAGGCACATAATGCAGCACGTTTAAAGAAAATAAAGATGGCAAAGATAAGTGCTCCCACAGGAACGGGCTGTTCTTCACGGTTTTTCTGTTAACAAAGCTGGGTCAAGGCCGCCAGCTGCCCGGCGTGGCCGAGCCCCTCGCTGTTCTGCAGCCAGCCGTTCAGGTTCAGCGGGCAGCTGCTGACCCGGCTTGCGGAGCTGGACCAGGATGCAATGAGCGGGCTGGGGACAGGCCGCTCTCCCACGGGTGCTGTGCCACAGTGCTCCTACAGCTCCTGTTCCTGGCAGCAACTGCGTGGCTCCTGGCTGCTCCCAGAGCCTGAAGGGCTTTACTAACGCTGCTCTCCTCTCCCTCCCGTGTAGGGGCCCTGCTCCCCCCGCCCCAGCCACGGTGCGTTCGGACTTACCCTGAACACCTCCGCGTGGTCCAGTCGCGACACCAGCACCAAGCTTTTGGGAGCAAAGAGCTGCGCGGGTTGAACGGGAGACGATGGCTCCTCTTCCTCCTCCTCCCCCTCCCCATTCCTGGGGTGGCTCTGAGGCTAGGGAGACACACATCAGCCAAGTCCCAGGGTTAGAAAAAGAAGCCCTTCCCTCTCCCAAACCTCTGACGCCAGGGCTCGGATTCCTCCAACAAGGGGAATCACTGGCCAAAGGCGAAGGCAGCCGGATGCCTCCCAGCCAGTGCTGCCCACCACCTTCCCAACCTGCCTCCGCAGGCAGGACCCCGGCAGCCCGCGTACCTGCACGCTCTCGACAGCCTCCCAGAAGGTGAAGCAGGCGCAGTAATGTCGCTCTGAGTTGATGTCGGTCAGCACAGCCACGAAGAAGGTGGGGGGGTTCCTCTCCGTGAAGAGCTGCCAGCCGCTGGGCTGGCAGAACTGCAAGAGAGGGCAGGAGACAGCGGTCAGAGGGCCTGACCTGCCCGCACCGCTGCCCTTGCTCCCCCGCATCGCTTTGGCGGTGGGAGCCGGGAGCGTTGGTGGGCTGGACGATGCAAAAGCAAACCACCGGGTACCGATGCTGCCAGGTACCGGCCCGGCTCCCAGGGACAGGGAGCTTGGTGTGGCAGGGCCACTGGGCCACCTTCCCTGGCACACGCTGCAGCACCCGTAGCCACCACGGTCCAGGGAGTGGAGAGCACTGGCCAGAGCCTCCCGTCCCCTCTGTGGGGGAGAACTGGGCAGGCACCTTCCCCTCCTCTCCGCAGGGACAGCAAGAGCCGCTTGGAGAAACCCAAGCTGGGAAGAAGGGTGACAGGACACCCTGGCCGAGCTGGGCACCCTCCACCACCCTGCACCCATTTTGGAGCCGCAGGCGCTCGCCCAGCACAGGGGCTGCGAGGAGCTGGGCTGTGCCGTGCGAGGCGGCTACCTGCAGCCAGCATCGAGCCTGCCAGGCTTGCCAAGTCCTTGCAGCCCACCAAGGGGGCGGGCGGCCGCAGGCAGGCACGGCACAAACTCCGGGAAGGAAAGGCGATGCGTCCCCGCAGGGCCTCCAGGCACCAGCGTCGGCTCCGGGAGGTGGCACTCCTCCCTCGGGACAGGCAGCTGGAAAACACTGGCCCAGGCTGCACCAACACCGCCTGTCAGGCAACACCAAACACAGTTTTACCCGTTTCTGGGGACTTTCCAAACACCCTCCCAGGGTATTTGGGTAATTCCAGCCAGCGGCCCCAGGACTGCCCCGGGGTTTCAAAGTCTCAAGGGATTTTTCTTTATTTCCTCAGCATCTGCATTTGGCTGGTGAGGAGCTGTGGAAAATTCCTGACACTTTGGGGCCCTCCCTGAGACAGCTTCCCAGAGCGGGAGCGCTCGGCTCCTTGCAGGGCCGGGGCCCGATGCGCTCTGAAGAGAAGGTGATGAGCAAAACCGAGGATGAGAATAAAGCGGCAACAGGACCGGACTGGCAGAAAGGGCTGGCAGGCCACAAAGCTGCAGAAATCACTGCTCTGGCCCAAACCCTTGCGAATCGAAGCTGGTTTCAACCCGGTGAAGGCTCCCAGCTGCGCACCGCTCTCCGTGCCCACCCTCACGCTCCACGTGCAGGCACGCGCTCCGCTGCACAGACCCTCCTCTCCTCCCCTGGGCAGCCCGGTGCAGCTGTAAGGGCTGGGCATCAGCCACAGCGCAAGAGCTCGGCGTTCTTGAGCTGCCCAGGTACGGGCAGCTGCTTCCCAGACTCTGCCGCGTGCGTCCCGGTAAGCCTGTGTCCCAGGGCCTCTCCTTTCTGGTGCCACTTTCAAGCCGGGCTGCCCCCTGCCCGGCTCCCCCGTCAGCAGGCAGGAGGAAGGTATGGCTCAGCAGCCGTCAGGGCAAGCACACAGTGTCACTCTCCCAACAAGAGGGTTCCGCTCCGCTGTCAACCCGTAGCTCACCGCTCTGTGCAAACATTTCCCAGACATCGCAGAAATGACGAGAGCAAAGCACACAGAGCCGCTGCCCTCGAGGAGTTTGCTGCTGGGTCCCACCCAGCACTTCCCAGCTGCTGCATCCCGGTGCAAAGGGATGCACTCCACAACCACGGTATCAAACCTTCCCTGCGGAGACGGGTACGTACAAGCCCGATGTCGGGGGTCAAGTGTGTTCATCCAGAGGCCTGAGAAATGGAAGTCCAGGTCCCCCGGACTGCTCTCTAGAAGGGAACCCCAGGGGGACATCGACATCACCACCACCAGCGGGCGCAGGCTCTGCTCCACTCCCCGGTCACACCGTCTTCTGTGCCAAGGAGCCGCAGCCCATTCCAGAGGCAATTACGCCGCCGCTAAATGGGCGCAGGGAAACAATGGCACGACACAAACATGAACACACCTGAGCCTCTTCACTCGGGGTTAGACCTGCTCAGGCCAAGGCACGGCTCCGCCGTCTTCTGCCCCCAACGCGCAAGCTCAGCGAGGACCACCAGAGCCCTCGGTCCCCCCGCGGGAGGTGCAGGAGGCTCCTGATGCCCACCCGGGCTCCAAGCACCAAGCTGTTCTGGGACTCTTCCCGAGCCATGGGATGAGAAGCCAGCTTCCTAAAAAACAGCACCTGCTGAGAGCACGGGTCACTTCAAACCGCAGCAGGTGACACCGTGGATCGGGCCGTGTCGCTGGGGTATGTGGCTATGCCCTGGCTATGCCCCAGAGCTGCTTGCAGCCCAGTTGGATTGCGCTCAGCGTGCCCAGCTGGATTGCACGCAAGTTCCTCAACCGATTTATCCTGCAGAAGTCAACATAGAGCAGCCACATGTTCGTAAAGCACCAGGCACGCAGACATCTGACCTCCACAACCATTGCCTCGTTTCAAGCTAGATCCTCTAAAAAGGACGCGCATCCTCCATGAAAGACAGGTGTAGGTTGGCTGGTGATTAGAACAAACGTCCTCCAGGAGCACCCTGACCGTGACCGATGGTGGTACCCTGGTGCACCGCAACACTGAAGGTGCCACAGTTAAAGGAGGGCAAAACTACGGGCCCCCACACAGAACTAAAGATCTCCGTGGATCTGCGTGTGCAAGAGGCGAGCTCTTCACCTGTGCCTTGCCCGGACCCAGCTCCGCGCTGGGAGGATGTTGACCCTGCCCTCGTTCCCCCCAGCGCTCCCGGCAGCCTGCCCTCGGCTGGGGTACGTCCCGCCGCCCGCGCACTCGACCCGTGCAGTGCAGTAACATGGCATACGCCGCCGGGGCCCCGCGCGGCCGTTGGGGCGTGCAGGAGCCGCTCCGCACAGCGAGCGCCACAGCGGCATCGGTCCCTCCTTACAGCACATCTCGGCGCCGCTGCATGCCCACGGAGAACAAGAGCGAGCTGCAGACGGCCAGAAGAGAAGAAAGTCTCGATTCTTACTTGCAGGGGGTGTTGATGGAAGCGACTGAGCTGAAGGATGAGCTGCAGCTCCCCTGCAGACCGGCGCTGGTGGATGCCCCAGCCAGGCTGCACATAAGCCTCTCTGGAGCAACAGCCTTTGTTTGTTTAGAAAAATCCCGCAGGAAGGCAGAGCTGTGTGCCGGGCTCTGCAGGCACTGCCTAGAGCAGTTTTAGCAACAAAACCAACCTCTCATGACAACACGTGTGTGTGTCTGGCAAGCCTTGTTTTCCACAGCATTGCATGGATCCGCACTGCTTTACCACCTTTTCTTCTTCCACCAGTTACATCACAGGCCTTGCCCAAGTTTGCAAGGATCGGTTTTGCAAGGATCTAGCCTACGATGTCCCAAGACATCCCCGTGATCATTTATTACCACCCTGGAAAGCCATGGGAAGGCAACACAACCCTGCGGCAGAGCTGGCTGCCAGGCAGGAGGGACGACACATGGAGCCACCGGTCACCGGCGTCCCACTGGATTAAGGAGCTGCCTGCTCCGCTCCCGATCAAACCCACGCCGAAGCGTGGTGGCAGCTCTCCTCTCTCCTGAGCGTTGCCGAAACAGCCGCTGGCTGCGTGGGCTCGGCTGTCGGCTGCCAGCCTCCGGTTCCTCCGCATCAGAGGTGAAGGAAAGATCTGTTGGTCGAGATGGACGCAGCAGAGGAGAGTCTGCTCAGCTACCATCACCTCACAGAAACAAAGCAATAAAGGAAGCTTTTCTGCAAGCAGCAGAAACATAGAATCACAGAATCGTCAAGGTTGGAAAAGACCCTTAAGATCATAAAGTCCAACCGTTAACCTATCACTGCCAAGGCCATCTATACCATGTCCTCGAGCACCACATCTACCCGTTCTTTAAATCCCTCCAGGGATGGGGACTCAGCCCCT